TATATATATATATATATATATATATATATATAAATTTTATATATATAAATAAATATATATATATATATATTTATTTTTTTTTTTTTTTTTTTTTTTATTTATATATATATATATATATATTTTTTTTATATATATATATATATATATATATATATATATATATATATATATATATATATATACACTATATATATGTCACCATACTCTTATAACTTCTGTTTTTAAATAAAAACATTACAAACAAATTTGTTCACTTTTTAATTTATTTCACATTTACTGGAGAAAATATTTATATTTACTGTATGTTGTATACATGATAATACAATATTGTGCTTGTTTTTAATAATATTCAACAAAAAAAGAATGAAGAAAGCTGTTTGAATATGAGTTGTTGGAAAGTATGTATAAGGTGTCATTTATAAGTTCTGTGTTAAAGCTCATAATCATAATCCTGCAACACCAATTAAATCATTTCAAACAACTAAATTATAAATTATAAGGAAAGTTTTAAATGTAAACTTTTTATGTTGGGTCTATTGTTGGACATTGTTGCCATAAGGCAGGGGTTGGATACCACGTCTCCTTTTTCAAATGGTACATTTTCATACGACTAAACACCAAATAGCCACGAAAAATATAAAATATACTTGCGATGGTAGCCTGATTGAAAAACACCTTTTTCATACAGCAAATTAATGGTCAACTACATGCATCAAACAAAAAATAATGTGATTTTTTAGCTGATTTTCATCTATTATGACAGTGTTATACACCTTTTTTTCAATGGGCAGGGCTCGAAATTAACTTTTTTACTTGGTAGCACCGGTGCTCCCAACTTCAAAAATTTAGGAGCACCAAAAAATTTTTAGGAGCGCCAGAAAAAATTTAGGAGCACCCACCAAAAATGAATGAGCACAGCTGCAAATTGTTTTTTAAGGGATTTATTGTATTTTAAAACAACATTAATAGGACTGACAAAAACCAGAAACAACTATCTAACTAATGCTGCGAAGACATTGATATTTGTGTGCAATAATTCCAAAATGAATGTCTAATAATAATTAGGCCATAGAATATTAATGATGATAAAAAATGACAATAATAGTAACAATGAATTCCATTTCTCATTATGATACTGCATTGAATGTGCTTGAATGCAAGTTATTTGCTATAAAAAGTCTGTTACTTTATGAAAAATAGTTGTATAGTTTGTATCAAACATAAATGAAGCATTGCAGTAAGAAATATTTATTTTGTACTGCTGTTTTTATATGCATGTCAATTTAATAAATAATATTTCTGCTACAAAACAAACAAAAGATTATAATAAATCATTCAATTCAATGATGAAAGCTGCAAAGCAGTCATCAGTAAATAAATAAAAAAATAATATACACCTCAAACAAGAATAGACAAAAGAAAGTAAGTAAAGTCTCACTTAAATCACTCTTTAAAAGTTTTGGTTTCAGTTTGTGTCAATTTAAAGGTTCAGTCTGAGCTGATCTTCATGTTTCTGTGTTAGTGGAAAAGCAGGCGAGTCAGCCGACACAATTTATGAGCAGGCAGAGCAGGATTCTTGCGCTAACCATCGGCGCAATACTGGTCTTTGTTATGAGCCGCAGTTTCAGTGTAAACTTAGGAAAGGCTTCTTTGGCGATGATATGTACAGTATTAGATTTAACTTTTAGCGGACATTTGCGTTGAACACGCAGTGAATGCAACGCATCGAGATTCGGGCACCTTCTTCAAGAAGCGCGTACTCGATTGATCTCAGCTGGTGGATCATTATTCACCACGTGACGTGTCATGATCGCTTTCACCTGCGCCTCAATTTTAGGTGGGGTTTGCAAACCTGTGTGCTTTAAGTTTTTACTCTTCAGCCGTTTGCATTTCCCGTGGTCATAAAAGCTCCTTCCCTGTCATCTGACAGCGGAATACCTTGTTGAATGACAGCTAATATGAACCAATATAGCGGCAGGGAAGAGCGATTCAGCACGTTTTTACAAAAAATCAAAACAGGTCGCACTACAACCATTATCTGCAGTCGCACTAATGCTCCCAGATATATTATGAGGTCGCATAGATTAATTTTCGGGCGCATATGCGACCAAAATGGTTGCAATTTCGAGCCCTGATGGGTTAAAGTTATATAATCCACTATTCCTCTTAATTGGATGCTATTTAGGAGCCACGTGCACCCACTGACAGGAAAAGGGTGCTCTCTCTCTCTCTCTCTCTAAAGTTGCTATATTGGAATGAGATTTACAGTATTGTCAAAGCATTTTAGATATGTATAAAGTATGTAATATATTAGCATCATTAAATTAATAAAATATGCAGCAAATGAGAAATAAATATTAACAAAAAAAATAAAATTAGACATAATTGCAAAAAAATAAAATAACTAGTAGAATAAAAAGTGTAGATTATTTAAATAAAGCAAATTAGTTGATTCACCATTTCTGATGGTTTATATTTTGCAGCCATTATAGATGTCATTTAGTTCTCTCTGAATATAAAGTTTATCTGAGTTGTTTATTAAATGATTAATCATTTAATGTTCCTCTCTCGGCTGCGCGCGCAGTCAGCTGCGAAATGGTAATGCAAAAACTCATACAAATAATGACAACTTTAGAAAGCAAAAGTAAAACCTGAATTCTGGACATTTTAGGAGATTCAGAAACTACAGTCGGATGCATTTTATCATTTTGAGAGTTTCTGTGTGAGTGGCAGATCGCGCACACACAGAACCAAGCAGTAGGAAACGTGCAGAGCGAGAGACGATTTTCCACTGGTTAATCGATTGTGAATGTTAATTTTTCTTGGACGGATACAAAAAAAGGTACAAGGTCTTTCTCTCTGAGATGGCTGTCAAATTGACGTGGATCCAGGCTTCTGGATGGGATGAAATCAAGTTTGCTATTGCGCAATCCAGTGGACACACATGGAACTGCAGTATATTTTATTGAAAAAATTTCAACTCACAGGGCCCTATCATACACTCGGCGCAGTGTGGCGCAAGGCGCAGCGCAGTAGTCTTTTGGTAGTTTCAGCTTGGCGCAAGAGTCGTTTTAAGGTGTTGCGCCACGCTGTTTAAATAGCAAATGCATTAGCGCTCATTTGTGCGCCCATAGGCGTTCTGGTCTAAAAAGGAAGGCGTTCTGAGGCGGACCGCTGGCGCGTTGCTATTTTGAGAATCTATAATAGATTTTTCATTAGACCAAAACAAACCTGGTCTAAACTCCAGTGCAGAGTTGTGCCTCACTTACGCACTGCTTAATACACACAAGAGAGCAATAGGCAAATATCTTTACATATGAAAAAATTTAAATATTAATATATATATATATATATATATATATATATATATATATATATATATATATATATATATATATATATATATATATATATATATATATATATATATATAGAGAGAGAGAGAGAGAGAGAGAGAGAGAGAGAGAGAGAGAGAGAGAG